ATACCCTATCCTAGAGTAAACTGCTTGAAAACCATACCCTTCACAGCGGCACATACCTATATAGCCCATATATGGCAGTGCCCCCCCCCCCCCGGGCTTGTCTGCTTTCCTTGTTGTTTACGACATAAGCTGGGAAACCCATTGTCGCTGGCAGATGTCTCGTGGCGTCACTGTTTAAATTGTTTGTAATTAGCATAATGAACCGGAAAACAAACAGATATCATATGTATGAGAGAATAAGGAAGCAAAAATTTCCCTTTTAGCAATTACTTTAAATACTGTGATGAATTTGCGGAACCTTTTGCTGGCTTGTTCGGTCCTGTAGTCATTAAAACCTAGGTTGCGTTTTATATAGTAGGTAAATTGGATGTTTTTTTCAAAATAAGGTTCTCACACTTAAGTGTCGCAACCTCTTAGTGTCGCTTTATCGAAGTTTATGTTTGTCCAGTAACTGTAGTTTAATATACGACTGACGTCGTTGGAATAATTTATTCCGAAATGACAACGATAATTATTCCATGACAGCTGCGTTGTGTTGTACGGCTTTAATGGAAAATTGTCTCCGAAGAATATATTCTTTCACCACAACCCACACATTTCCGATAGCCGAATAACTGCACCTTCTAATGAAGCCAAATTTTGTATTGTCGGAGAGTATTGTTAAAAAGGAAACAAACGCCTCTCTATAGGCGGATTTTAACATGCCCTAAAGCACTTAAAGTCAGTTTTGGTAGAGGTAAGAGAGACTTTAATAAACGTAGATACAGATCAAGGAAGTATATTTTTACTTCTTTTATGATTTTTTTGTTTTTGTTTTTGTTTTACACAGCTCTCTATTACCATATTTTCTTTATTTGTTGTGTATAACCCTTTTGCTGGTTGAACTCATAAGCCGAAAGGTACACGATGATATTTCTCCTGTGTGATGAAGCTGTTTTTTGTCCTCAGAATTACCCCTCAGGGATTTGGTCTCCTCATTTGAATCGGAGATTGGAGCGTAAATGAATCAACGGGCGAAACTTAAGTTTCCTGTAGATCTTGTTTTCCATAAAAATATCAGTTCAGATCAGATTAAAAGGCTTGTAAACCAAGTCAAATCATTGCGAACATCTCGGGTTTAGCAGAGTGAAATCTTCACCGTCATAAACGTGTCGTTTTTTTCATCAGACGAAGAGAATAAGGCGACCTTTTTTCCTTTAATTATGATTTATTTATTTTTGTTTTTTTTTTCTTTTTCTTAGAGTGTGACGCCAAAAGTTGATTTATTTTAATCAACGGTATAAAAGGGCCCTTCGGCCAGGAGGATATCTGTTTTCTGCTTTTGTCGTTCTAACAAAAGTTGAAAAAATATCAAAGTCTTGCAACAATAGACAATTATTTGGCATTGTATTGCAGTGGGTGTGTTAAAACTGCGTCTGTAGCTCTCATGAAACTGCTTGCTGTCTGCGCTGTTAGGCAAAACGCGAATTGTAATTAGTGTGTTTGTATATCTTTCTTTTATAAGGATCGATACTTCATTTAATGGAAAATTAGAATTTGCGGAACCTTTTACTGATTTTACTATCAGATATTAGTGATATCTGATCGTAACTTTCGTTATCACAGCGGATCGCGAACGTTTTATCACGCTCCTCCTCACGGATCTCATCACGCTTATCTCACCACGCTTATCCCAGGCTACTTGACGGAGCCTGGTACCGATTGCCGCTTTGAGAGCAGACCGCACTCGTTACGCAGTATGGAACATGGTATTTCAAAGAATTCTTCTGGAACCAGTTCCGCACCAAGCCTTTTGGTCCAACTTCGGGAAAATTAACAGTATAATGAAGCATGACAAGGGCCAACCTTGAGTTGACATAGAGCGACAAAGAACAGTTTTGATGCGACCGACAAAGCTGCAAAATCGAACCACTTTATTTGAAGAGGTTCACACATAACGACTGTCGAATTCTAAATTAGTACTTGTTGCCTTGGAATTTTGAATCAGAAGTCATCGTCTATGGTTCTCAGCCAACAAAACATCATGAATGATGGGGATATTGTTATGGAAGGTCATCTTAAACGACTTAAGGTAAAGCGAAGGTAGTAAAATTTAATTTGTAGCGCTCGATCTTAGAAGTGTCCTCGATCGAGCTTTTTCCTTTTAAGTTCTCAATATTGGCCTAAGATTTCGTTGATGTTGTTGTCGGTCTGATTTTGACTGCCAATTCTTTATTTTGCTTTTTTCTCGCGCATTCCAGTAGCAGTTGTGAAGTTCAACGAGGGTTTTGTTGTGTTAATATGACTTGAGCGATTGTATACGACAAACACCAGGTCTAATTTGCACTCCAATCAACTAAAACTCGGTGTTTAGCTTTGCAGGGGATCTTACATATTTCATTCGTCTTGTGTGAGGTAAAACCTCGAGAGCATTTTCCATTGATAAAAGTTGTATTGATACATCTTTATCTCGATCTCAAGCAAAATCTTGATTGTTTTCAATGCTAATATAAATTCAAGTATTACCTACACGATTTCAATTTTCTCCGGCAATTTTTAATTATGTAAGCCCACTTACTTAATTAAACAGCTTTGTGAGCTTAAAGGTTGTTTTTTTGTACACAGGCAGTATGGATGTGTAGATCTAAGTTCTCAAAATAGTCTTTATTTTGGAACTTTTGTTATTTATTAAGCTAAAAGGTGCTGCATGTTAGCATGACTAATTATTGTTTTGAGAGGTTGTGCGAAGCAAATTGAAAGACAATGTCATTTTCTTTGTGTGGGAAACAAGTTGTGCTCTTACACATGCAAATTCATGTAAGTTTGACAGATATTAAAAATTATAATATTTTTAGCAATGATTCTGGAGTATTTTGATGGCGTTTTTGGCGATTGTGGCTTTCAGCCAAAAAAACCCTTTGATAAATAGCCCGGAGCATGAAATGTCCTCGTAAAGTGAAACATTGTTTACATCTGTTTTCTCAATAGACTCAAAAGAAGCGATACTTCGTTCTTCGTTCGTCTCCAAGGAAGGAAAAATCCCGACTGGAATACTACGAGAGCGAGAAGAAGTTTCGTTTAAAAGGAACTCCAAAGCGAGTTATTTACCTAACTGACTGCTGGAACATCGCAAAGAAAGAAGATTCGAAGCACAAATCGGTGTTCGTTTTGTACACGCGCGAAGATGCATTTGGCTTGATCGCGGATTCTGAAGACAAGCTAAATGCTTGGCTAAAGAGCTTGAAGACAGAGCAGAAAAAGGATGAAGTCCTGAATGCAACTGGTAGGTTACAAAGACCCCGGGAAAGACCGATCTTCTTCTAAAGCAATCAAATTACGTCGATCATTCTTCCTCAATATGTAAATTATTTTTTCCCCGTTTGAAATTAAGTCATGTGGTTGCTGATCCTTGATTCTAGTGGGACTACCCTGTTGGTATTATTGTTATAATTTTTTCATTCTTTTATTTTTTACTTATTTTATTTTGTGGAACAAGGAAGGGGAATGTTGCTTGTGTGACAAGGTTTGTGTTCTCGATTTGCGTAACACAATGTGCTGGTGGAGGCTTTGTTTTTATCAGGATTTATGAATAATTCGGACTATAATAGGAAGCAGTATTCATTTTCTTGATGTAGTGGTCGGGTTTGAATATTTGAAACAAATTAACACAATCTACATAACAATGAGTTGCTAGGAGTTGATGGCAAGCTGTGCAAGGGGGGTGTAGGGGCCTATTAGAAACCGAAGAAACTGCACAAAAATCGCTGAAAACCACAAAACCAAAACCGAAATACAGCAAAAGCCCTCATTAACAAAGCTTTGGCAGTCTTCAGAATCTCTCTTTCTGTTATTTAATATTTATACATCTAAACTTCTTTTACTTTCCAAAGTTCTTTCTGTATATTTCCTTGTTAGTGCAGAACACATCATAGTCTAAAAAGCTCCTTATTTATGTAAATCAGCTCCACAGACCTATAGCACTGTGGAACTAGAAACAAACTGCACGATAAAATGATTTTAAATGATTTTTGTTTAAAAGAAACTCCACTTTGTGAAGTTACTTTTTGATTGCCATTGTCATAATTTTCATTTGTGTAGGCACAATGGAAGCCCCATTTTACAACCAAATTACTAATTATTTTACAACCAAACAGTCTCTCCTTTGCTTTTATTCCTCGTGAACAGAGCAAGTGAGCATAATGTTATTCCCGCGATGAAATGGGGAGACAACGGGCAATTGAGCTATAGAAACTCGATGGTCCACAGTCTAAGGTTAAAGTCCACAAGATATTATCTCAGCTGCATGATATTTGAGAAATAGTCGTTTGCTTTGATGTTATCTTTAGCTTTTGATAGTCTGCTTGGCATCCAAAGAGACTAGGCTTGTCATGCATTCCTCTAACTGTAAGTGGTCCCTTGGAATTACAGTTTTAGCGCCACTGTGGGTGTAACTTCCTTGGCAAAACCAGAAGAACCGTAAAATGCATTGGGCTGAAAAATCCAAAAAACCGCCATCATTGTTGACAAAACCGAAAACCAAAGACTATATTGGTCAGAAAAAACCTGCAAATCGCACAAGACACCAAAACTGAAAAACCGCAGTTTTTAAGTGTGAAAGCCGAAAAAACCAAACCAAACATTGGCCAAACCTGCAAAATTGAAAAATCCCAATGCCCCCCTCCTGTGCCATCCAGCATACAAATTGTGTTACTCCATGAATCACTGGTAATCCCCCACAAACCATATGTTTTTTTCTTGGATGACCCCCCCCCCCCCCCCCCCCCCCCCCCC